TGAAAAAAAAAACTAGAATATGATTTGGTTGCATGTTTTTCTTGGACGACTTTGGATGATTTTTTTTATTTATGTAACTGTTAAGTGTTAACACTAATATTTGTTTTTATGTAAGATGTTTTCTAATGTAGAATCTAATTTATTAAATGAAAATCTAATTTATCACTTTATCACCTTCTATATTATCTCCTTTATCAATTATCACCATCTTTCATACAGCCTCAGCCGATGCTGCAGACCCAAAATTTCACTCTTAGTAGGTTACTTTTGACATATATGTATGCCATTCTTGTAAAACGAATGATGTATGCTATTTACTCAAGCTTGTATAAAAAATTACTCGTAAATAGATAGATTATTTTGATAAAGTTTTAATTGGTACGCAATTTCATAAAATAACTATAATATTTTTTTTTTTGTGTGGTCAAACTACGAATTTTATAAATAATAGAGAAATTGTTTACAACCATGAAGATAAAATTATATAATGAAAAAAGGTTTTACAGTAATCAAACGAGAGATGGAAACGAAAGAGATGGTTGATGTATGAAAAGCTTAAAAAGTAATCTTGAAGATCCAATTTTTAAGCTCAATCGTGGTTTCTTAATTATGAATTAATAAAGGAGATGAACATCGTGTAACACATTCAATATCAGGAGATATGAAAACAAAACAGCTAAAGGGGTTTTTCTTAAACACTAATGTTTCGACAACAAAAACTGAGATAACATAGATTGGGCCTGTGTTCTGATTCTGAAACATAAACTGCAACAATGGAAAAAGAGTCTTCTATAGCCATGGATAGGATTGGAAGGAGATAACATAGATGCGACTAACTAATATATATATACGTTTTTTTGGATGTATTCATGCTCGAGGCTTTCCGCTTCTCTTCGTGATTATTGTTTTGGTGACAAGAAAAATGTAAAAGTTCTGTAGCTTTTAACTAAAAATAGGAGAAAACAAAAAATTATGGTACCTTCATGATTTTTTTTATTTTTTATTGGCATTTTATCTTTGTATGATGATGTTTGGTGTGATTTTAATCCATTCGAATGTACGATCGATAATAAACTTGGATAAGCCGAACAAAATTATCTAGAAAATATACGTTTTATTCAATAGATAACTGTTTTTAATTTTTAATAGATGTTTCCACCTTTACCACCATGTTTTGGCGACTTCGGTTTTTTGCCTCCGCCGCCGCCGCATCTTGGATCTTCTGGATAACAATATTTTTTGTTCGGAGAAATCACATCGACTGTATCATCATTACCTATCTCTTGTAACTTATGAGGACACTCGCAATCTTCACGTTTTTTTTCGCCATACTTTTGACCGATCATTCCTTCCTTGTTATTATCTAATCTATCACTTTGATCATTTATGTCTCTTGCTTGAGCAATATCTTGTCCTTCACAAACACAAAATGTGGATACAATATGTTAATCTAACAAGAATTGCGACAAAAGTTGGAAAAAAAAAAAAGAATTTGAAGATAATCTTCACGATATATAAGTATCCAATTCAGTTAGACTCTTTACCATATACCAAAAAGAAGCAATGTATACTTACGAAAGGTGGCAACAAGAAGTGAAACCATCAACACAAGCATAAATGGAACGTTCTTCATACTCCAATTTTTTGTTTGTTTTGGTTTTCTGCTTTCGATAGTGAAGCTAAGCTGTTCCTCATTCCTTTTATAATGTAGTTTATCCAAGGGTTTAAAGTGACGTTATTAATGAGGTAATCTCTATGTTATTATTTGTAAAGCATTTTAGAATCATCAACTAGAAAATTGATAAATATTACTTAAAATGCCACTGAAAAGTAGACTATTTTAATAAACTTATCAAGGGCAAAATAGTCGAATGTATTTATAAATAACCAACTAAAGAAATATCAAATACTTTTTTGAAAGTTAAGAAATCTTACGAGATCTTAAAGCAAGACATTAAATATATATTCTCTCTAACCCCTTTTATGAGATTTTTGTTTTGGCTAAACGTTCAAAGTTTTTAAAAGAAACAAATTATATATTTTTTTATGTTTCTGTATTAAAAAATCATTTAATATCTAACTAAGAAACTAACTAATGACTGTAATACAAATGATCGCAATATATAAATGAATGTTAGAGATTTAGTGTTATTCTATAGTGATGATTTTCATCTACAAGAAAGAAAGGTTTTTTATATCCACATACGATCCAAGTTGGTCACATAGTTTTGATTATAGTTGGAAATACAGTAAATGCATGGTTAAAGAAATCAAATTCTTAGCAAATACGAATGTTCACCGGTTTTAAGCTCTAACTAAACTGGTGACCACTCGAAAAATAATAAAAGAAAAGTATCTTCATAAAAATGCATTTCTTTTGTTCCTTGTCAAATTAGATAGTGAATAATTTTGTTCTATATTTCCTAATACTATTAGGAATGAAAAGGAATGACACGCAATCTTTATTATTTATAAATAGTAAAAAAATATTAGGAATGAGTAGGAATGTTATGTTCCTCCTCATTCTTTACATTCCTAATGGTCACTATTTATAGCTTTAGTTTTTAAAAGTTCCATGGAATCGAAAATAAATATGCTAACGCGAAACGTTTTAAAGCATGTATATATAACATATATATCCTTAAATGATTCATATCGATTCTTTTGTTTTCATGCTTCTAACGTATGACACTTGCGAATTCCGTTGTCGCAATGTCGTGAAGTTTGCACACTCACAACTACGCATGCCTTGGCACTCAAGGTTTGGGTCACATTGCCCTATATAATTCACCTCGACTCTATTTGTATCCATCGCTTGTAACGTAAGACATTTGCAACTTCCATTTTCGCAGTATCCTCGACCTCTCTCAGCTCTCTGACAAGTACGTAGACCGTGACCCTCAAAGTTTTTGTCGCATAGCTTGGATTTTGCAAGATCTTGTCCTTCTTATGAATAATGTGTTAGACTTAGTCCCAACATGGATTGTCATGTTTAGCCAAAAAAAAAAAAAAAGGATTGTAATCAAAGCAAACGATTTGTAGAATTAACTTGTATCATTAGGTTTCACATTTTTGCTCAAGTCTCGTTTGAGAAGGAAAGTGGGGAAAAAAAAAAAATTCTACACTTAAATATATATATTTAAATTGATGTGTTTTAACCGATGCTACGACCTTCTAGATCTGCAGATCTCAGGTAAATACTCGAATTTGCATTTCTTCCGAAAATAATATATAGGCACATGCTCGATATACGAACACTTACCATAGAAGATAAGATGAATCATTTATTGATAATTGTTGAATATATTAACTTATTATAGTTATTAGGAAAATTAATATTTGTATATAATATAAAAAATTTGTTAGACAAGTTATGATCTTGTACAAATAAACTTGTTAGCTAATTAATAAAAATGAGAAAATTATCATATTCCCGAGATTACCTAAAATATATAGAAAAAAAATCAAAAAGTGTTATAGAATGAAGAGAGAATAGAGAGAAGGAGAAAGGAATTGATGTGTCATATTCCATAGAGAACAAAGGTATATATATGATACAATGACCTGGAGAGGAGTAATA